CCCTCGTCAGGCTGCGTTAGCATCTGCGTCCAACACGTGCACCGCAGGGATCATGACCCTCCACTTCCCCTTCCCTTGCTCTCCCCATTGGGCAGAGCTGGCCTGCAAGGTCACCAAATAGCTGAATGGGGCAGAGTGAGGCACAACATAAACTGACCCCCCAGCAACCACCCTCCCCTAAATCCCCCTACACACCCCCTGGACATTTCCAGAGAGGAGAGGACCAGAGAGGTCCTACCCCATCCCTGCCAGGGTCACTGACAGCCTGCAAAATCACACCAGAGCCTGAAGCACCCGGCTGTAGGGAGCTCAGGGTGGAGCTACTGCCTTTTCCCCAAATGGCTGTTCATCTGTTAAGCAGGTTATAAAATAAAAGAAAAGGTTTAGGGCAAATATTGGACGAGAATACGCTATCACTGGAGGCATCTTGTTGATCACACCGTAGCCAGTGGTACTGTCGGCCATGATCACTGTACACACAGGCCGAGCCTCTGAAACACAGACAGACCACCGAGACCTTTATGCTGCTTTTACCTGCAGTAACACGACTCATGTGTGGCATTATAAACCATAATAGAAAGTGATGGGCTAACAGAGAAGATAAAGATCATTTTTTTTAAATATCATGTTTTTTGGTTAGATAGTGAAAGCATGGAGTAATACACAGTACTACACAAAAATAACACTTAATATTCACCCCTGCAGTTCATAATTTACATTAAATGAATGCTCTCAACCTTCTTCATAATACTAATTAAGTGTAAAGGTGTCTACCCATGTAATATTCAAGGCTTACATTAGGTCTCAACCTTTTACACAGAATGCTGTACAAAGTACACCTACAGTAAGCTCAGGCAGATTCAAATCAGACACATTATTATATGTGTTCCCTTTATCTTATCTCATCAATGATTGAGAGGAAGAGCAGTAGACATGGTGTAACGCTGTTATAAAGGACATTGTTAAGGATGAGGAAGACATGACTCAAACTAACTCAATGACTCAAAATGCTGCAGTTAAATAATTATCAGGCAAATACAATTGTCATGGGCATTTGTTCCATTAGCGATTTTATTCCCCTCTCTGTATTTTCAAATGTTGTTTTTAATCCGCATTTTTGCAGTACTGCTTCAACATAAAAAAGCCACAATCAATAAAAAAGAAAAATCACAATTTAGGTTGAGAAAAACACACATTCTTCCGCTTGATAGAGACAAAATAATGATTAATTAGGAAGGAGCGCCTCACTTAATTAGTCCTTTCGTTAAGGAAATGAGTGCAGAAGAACTCTGATCGAAATGCGTGGTTGTGTTTTTCCAATGCATGACCATGAAAATAATAGGAGGGGGCCGGAGGAGGGAAAGGGGAAAAGGAGAAAAATCCCTGGCTAATTTAAATACAGTCTTATTAGTCTAATGACCAGAGTCTGTGATCACTACTCATCACCATTAATGCCACGACTCTCCCCTGCTCTGATTGCCCAAGGCTTAGCTTTTTCCCCTTAGCCCACATTCGGCTGAGGAACCAACGCGTTTTCCCTTCCGCTACACATGAAATGTGACATGAGGACACTAATGTATGTGGAAAAGGGACGGAAAGCAGGGATGTGAGACACTCTGCACTCCTCCTTTCACGGTTAATGATATGACGTGCTGCACGGAAACCAAAAACTCCACTCCTTTTAAAAGCCATCAGCTCTGAGGCATGTTTCTATTAAGAACACTCCTAAATGTTATAATAGGTGGCCCTAACGAGCTTTGGCCTCGCTCTCCTATCTGCCGTCCTCAACTACCATATTGGCTGACGCTGATGCTTATCAAAATGATGAATGCAGCATTGACTTCAAATGAGTTGGAAGATTGGAAAAAGGGGGAAAAGTCGTGTTTATCATTGCATGAATTGTTTCTGTGTTCTGCTCCACATTGCACAAAGACTGCTTATTATTTCAACCACATGTTTTCAGATAGAAGCAATCATGTAATACGAATATAATATACAAAAAACAGGCTAGCCTTATGTGAATGCATTGTGAAATTGAGGAAAGAATCGTTTTAGTGAGAGCAAGATGCACAGAGAAAAGATAAACAATGGTCATTAGCTTGAAAAGGGAAGATGCTGGCTTGAAAAACACATTTTTAGTATATACAACATTAATTTAGATAAATCCAGCTTCCGAATGTTGTTCCTGCTTTGACACACACACACACACACACACACACACACACACACACACACACACACACACACACACACACACACACACACACACACACACACACACACACACACACACACACACACACACACACACACACACACACACCTTTATCTACTGCGCTTATCATAAATAAAAATGGTATAGTATAATTTTTGAAAACATCCACTAATGGTCTCAATAGTACTGAATGCTTAGCCTTTTGTTATTGTATCCTGTTTTTTTCATGGACACATATTCACTTACTCTATTATCGTGGATTGAATTCCTCATGATATATTTTTATTATTAGTGACTGCCTTGCCAACAGTTTTATAACTTTTTTTACAGCCAATATGAAAGAGGTGTTTTCAAGGGCAAAACCTCAATGAAAGAAAACCTTGGTCATTATTTTAACAACAAATGAGGTCTGAAGTCATTTTAAACCATGGAATAAAAGTCATGTCTCTTTAATGAATCCAAACATGTCACTCGCTACATATCAGCACCACATGACAAAACAAACAGGCCACCAAACATTAGGTGAAAACATGAAAGTCACACGTCTAATGTCCTGCATCACCAGGCGTGATTCCACTCTGCCAGACAAAGTGGCACAGCTGGCAGAGAAAAGAGCAAGCAGAAAGCAGGCAGCGTGTTAGATGACCTGGGGATGTGAATAACCTTGGTGACTGGGGAAGGCCAGCACTAATTAACGCCATGCAGCCATGTTTGCTGTCAGGGCATCGTCACAGGGCCACAGTCCTTGGAATCTCCCCCATGGATGTCCTCGTCACTCCCCTGCTACCACCCCAATCCAGACCCTGGGGAGGACTGTTCACCCCCTCTCACGCCAGCCTCGACCCTTTGCATGATAATGAGAGGGAGGTTTGGGAGAGGAAAAGACGGACCCAAAACTGTGTCAGTCAAATGCTAGCCTGCTAACACCTTATCATCATTACTGTCACCTCTCTTTACTACCACTCCATCGATGATTTAGCGTTCTACTTTTGTAAATTCACACCTTGAGAACCAGTACTGTGACACTGTTCATTCTATTTAGTATAAAGTGTATTTACATATTCAGGCAATATGCATGGCAATTTCAACAGTAGGACGGATGCTTTGACTTCTTAAGCTTAACGAGTGGATGGCTAATTTCTCCTCAGCATGAGTGTTGGAAGTGAGAACAGCACTTGCAGCCAAACATGTCTGTCAATCATTAATTGGGACTCTGACATCCTGCCTCGAAAATGTTGCCATACTTTCACAGTATCAACACTCAGCATCCTTTTGCACATGGTTTAGCATTCTCACCAGAGCACGATGGAAATAATATTCATCGCTGGCAATTTATGGATTCATTTATCACCCACATCTTATTTGCTTCTCTTAATCGACCCTGGGGGTCTAACTATGGCCTTGGCTGGCCACCAGTGCTGGAGCTTTATTCCTCTTCACACAGGCCTAGTGTTAACGCCGCTGGCCAAGTTCACAGATTTGACTGACTGTGGACTTAATGCCGCTTGCCTTGTTTTCAGCACTTGTCCCTCCAGATTTGCCACCCTGGCTGCACAATTTCCTCCAATTCTAATTATTCATCAGCTCGTTATGCCTGTGCCTGGGCGCCTCCCCTAATTAGAGGCGACGCAGGGTTTGGTCCCAGGCTAGCCTCGAGTGAGGGAACCAGTTCAGAACCAGTCCGAGGCGTGCGCCCGTGGAGGACTGGGTAACTGCCAGCGTCTCCAAGTGCACGGGGGAGAGGAAGGGCCTATCTTGACAGTGTGATGTGACGTGCCTTCACACAGTCTACCCCCCATACACACACATTAATCATTCTGCAATGTCCCATATCTATTAGCATAACCTCTAGATATTTATAAGAACCCTGGAACAATGGATTGTTTTCTCTCAGTGGTGTGATGTATTGCCAGTGTGGTGTGAATGTTTTTGTTGATTTTATATGATGCCGTGAAGCTGAGATGGCGACGTGTGGCTGCTGAGAACAGTGTCAGTGGGCAGGGTAGAAGAGCGTGAATTATTAAATCATTGTTTCCTAATTAACATCAGGCCTTAGACACAAAATAGCCTCGAGAGCTGAAAAACATTGAAATGTCTCACTATTATTAAATGAATAATTCCGGGAGACAGGAAACAAACAATGGCCTCCTGTTCAGATAGTAGCGAGACATACTCCCATCACTGTCAATATCAATTGTATTTGTACAAAAAGAACCATAGCAACAATATCTGATAGTCCTTGGGAAAGTAATATCTCATGGTCTTATGGTAAGATAGTCTAAAGAAGGATTACGGTGCTATACATTAAATGCAAAAAGGGTTAACTTGTTAACATTATCCTACAGCTACTGAACCTCAAGACTTTTTTAGCTACAGATGTTTTATGCAGGCTCATAATGGCCCTTTGGGACAGCATATTTAACTTTTAGCAAAGAGGTTAGCAACTTAGATTACTGGCAGCTGATTGTCCAGTTCATACAGCCCGTCCTAAATACTACACTACAATTACAATTATTCATTCTCACATGCAAATTGTTTCTCCTAAAGGCTAGCTGCAAAAAGGATCATCATTAAAACATGTTATCACCATGGCTGAAATGTTTAAACTAAATATTAAAAAGTATTTTTATGAATATTTGGAAACCCTCAAAATAGGATAAATGACGACATCTGTAATGTCCTTCTTGTGGCCTGAGGTATCATGTGTTCACATGTCCGTGTGTGCGTTTTCACATTAGCAGATCTGCTACCACTGTTAAGTGTGGTTCTCCATCTTTTTCTCACCTTTTCCTCCTCCCGTCCTTTCCTCCCACATCATGTCAGCTCCCTCTGGCCTGGAGTCAGGGAGGTCGGGTTGACTGAATGGACAAATCTGCTTTGGACCTGAGTAAACACAGACAAGAGCTCATGGTTACAAAGGTGTACATGACACACGCCTCCTAACAGCAAACTGATAAAGACTAAAGCACATTTATTCACCTTCTCATACAAAACGCACGCCGCTTGCACATAAACACAAGCTCACACGTACATGAACAAAGTAGTGCTAATTAAAGCCCTCAGTGTGAGCAGAGAAATATGTAATCCTGACATTTAGTCAAGGGAGATTTGGGGAGACGAGGAGAAATTCTAGCGCTCGACTTGAGCTGGGCCTGGGGCAAGCTGGCAGACAAAAGGACAGCGGCAGGCAGCGAGGCTGGGATAGGGAGCGGTGGAAAGGTCATCTCCGTGAAAAGGCTAACGTGTCAGTGCTTTTGTTCCTGGCCCTCGGAACATATGTTTGGCCCTCCTCCACGGCTGCCCCTGCTATCAGGATGAAATCTAACCCCCAGCCCCCAAATGCAAGAACAGAACACACTCACACAAACACACAAGCGCAATCACATGGTGGACAGTGGTTGTGTTACTGTAGCACAGTTGTTTAGGATAAATGGATAAAAGTTGAGTTGAAGGTGTTGTCTTACCACTCTCAATTTCGGAAAGCCACACCAATCAGGAACACCTGTCTGCTTCTGTGCCAGGAAATCAAGATAAGAGGTGACAAAAGAGAAGAAATGAACAAGTGTGTGAGACTGAACATTGGGTTAAGGCCATTCAAACACATGTGCACAGATAAAGAAATTAGTAATGGCCAAAAAAGGATGCACAACTTTATCCTACTTAGAGTATATAGATTGATAGATATGTTTAAATCTGGTGTTTCATTGTCCTTCAGACAGTTAGCTGAGACCTCTCTATTTTCACTCGGCTAAATGTGAATCCAGTGTGTTGATAACTTAGCTTAGCACAAAGACTTGAAGCAGCAGGGAACAGCTTGGTCCAAAGGTTCAACCCAGTCTCACGGCATTTCGTGTTATAGTCACGACATTTAATCTATTGATTCGTGTTCACCAACACGATTTTCCCCTTTTTTTCGTGTCACACAGAACGATTTTTTAAAACCAATGTATTTCTATTGGTAGTGTGTTTCGTGCCTGCAACACGTATTTTTGTCCGGTCGGGTCTTGGAAGACCGGAAGCTGTGTGGTTCATAAAAACATGTTCTTACTCAATATCAAGCCACGATTATTGTTTTTATTTTAAATCGTACAATGTCGGACTTTTTTTGCCATCCGTGAGGAAAATAAATGAGGCTCAGAGCCTCAGAATACTGAAATCTGTATTTTTGAAATCTTTTTTTCCTTCTAATTTGTTATTCTTTTCTAAATAACACACTATTATCCTTGTTTTTATTTATTTGTTTAATTCTATAATCTCTGGCTTTTTTGGCGTCCGTCAGGAACTGAATTTCAAAATAAAATAACCGGAAACAGATGTAGGCCTATATGGGACATTTCGAGCATCATTGCGATACACACCCACTGAACTGATTACCCAAGATCCTCAGCTATGGTTTAAGCTCGGTGATTGGATGTTTTAGCCGCAATGCACGTTGGGATATGGTGTTAATGCGATATGAAATCCGGAAAACATTTCGGAGTTTAGGATGGCCGAAGACACTACACTACCCATAATCCTCAGCTATCGTTTGGGACTACAGTCCCGTTGCTTGACAAACCCCGTGATTAATCTTCAAGCTCTGGGATTGGATGTTGGAGTGGCAGTGCGCCAAGGTTACGCCAAGCGGCAAACTCTGGGGCAGAGCTGGGAGGCCAATAAGGAAGTGCCACAAACTGCAGTTCATCTATTGGCCGATAGGCGATGACTGCAGAAAGGATCAATTTCCATAGACCCCCATGTTAAAATGCCCAACTTTACAGCAGAAATAAACATGTTTCTGCCCCTGGATGCAATACAAATTATTCGGGATATAGTTAGATTCCACCTTCATGATTATGAATTGGTGAGTGAATTGTTTTATAACGCAACCCTTTTATTTATATTAGGTCTTAGTAAAACAGTTTTTTATAAATTAGGGCGTGGTCACTTTGATGGACAGGTATGTGCCTCACTGTCAGCTAACAGCAACTTGTCCACTCTGCTAGGCTACAACGTTAGCTAGTTGTAGTTACTGTACTTGATATATATATATATATATATATATATATATACAGTTTAGTTTATGATTCAGCCTTGGGTAAGACTTTTATAGTCTATGGCTATGACACCCATAATACTAAACGGGAGCAAATGTTAAAAGGGGACCCAATTATCCCAGTGGTGGCCGCCGGAGCTAACCAGCTCCGGCCGGCGTCCCGGTGGCGGAGTCCGGCGTTATAACTGGAGATCAAGGAATGCAGCGAAACGCGGACTTGGTTCGCCTGCAGCCCGCTGTAGTATTAGCTCAAGAAATTATGTTGAGGCTTATTAAGCTGAACATCGCCACAATTGTTCTGCTATGTATCGGTAGCCTACTTATTTTATTGTATTAACATGTGAATGACAAGCATTAAAGGTGGGGTAGGTAAGTTTGACCCCTAGATTCCACCGGGTCCGTCTGCGCCGCGTTGCGGTTTTGGTCCGGCCTCCTCCGGCGTCATACCCTACCAGGCGCGTTTCAGAAGCATTTCAGAAGCGGAGCGTCTTGCCTGCCGGCTCGCAGTTTTTGTTGATTTGGGCATATTTCCTGGACAGGCTACTTTGTACAGACAAAGTTAATAATAACTGTAATATTCCAGTTATAAACGACATGAATCAAAGATGTGTTGCTGTATTTTAGTGGTAAAAAAATGCATTCATCATCATAATTATTCTATATATATAATTTACACAGTGCCTGTAAACGCTGGCATTTCTCCTCCTACTTGAAAGACTACGGAGGGATAGGGTCTGCAAAATTAGTTTGTGTGTGTGTGTAGGCCTATATATATATATATATATATATATATATATATATATATATATTAGGGCTGTCAAGTTAACGCGTTAATAACGCGTTAACGCAAAAAAAAATTAACGCCACTAATTATTTTAACGCGATTAACGCATGTGTATTTTTTGTCCTCGGCCGCCGTAGTTTCAGAGCGCATCGAGTTTAAAATACCATCTACAAACTGATGCTGACAGCCCCGCTCCTGCTGCCCGCTTGTGGCAGACCACACTTCCACGCTCACCGGCAGGCCCGGACTGGCCATCGGGAGGACCGGGAGGGTGTGTGTATGTGTGGCGCGAGCGAAGCACACCTTACGTGTTGTTGTTAGCATCTGGTGCTAGCTAGCTGAGCTAACGGATATAAGGAGCTGTTTCAATGAAAACAGAGGAGCGACATTTCGCCGACAACTGCGCCGAGCACTTGACTTTATGCAGGTAGCCAGACAGCACACTCAGCACGGATAGTGCCGCAACACAGCTCATACACACAGGCATATATGCCTTGAGCTGCACATAGCTCCAACGATCCTCCACACACACACACACACACACACACACACACACACACACACACACACACACACACACACACACACACACACACACACACACACACACACACACACACACACACACACACACACACACAGTATTGTATGAGAGAGGTTCCAGGTTGAATCGAATATTTGTAATGTTCAGAGGTTGTTGTGTTTAATATTCATGAGAATATTTGTCATTGTTCAAATGATAATAAACAAACATATAAAGCATAGTTGTACACTCATATGTTGATAAGAGTATTAAAAATTTGAAAAATATCCCTCTAAGGTACATTTAGAACAGATAAAAAATGTGGGATTAATTTGCGATTAATCGCGATTAACTATGGACAATCATGCGATTAATCGCGATTAAATATTTTAATCGACTGACAGCCCTAATATATATATATATATATATGCTATATATGCTCTGAACGTTCCACTTCCTGCCTGCCCGACCTTACGTTACGGCTGCGCCGCGACAAAAATAGGATTCGATCCTAATTTTAGAGGAGCCCTGCGCCGAGCCGCTTCTGGGACGCTTCTGAGCCGTAACGCGCCGCGTGTGGTGGAATAGCACCCATTGACTAGAGTGGCCGCGATCGCCGTGAGCACCGCGGCGCAGCCGTAACGCGCCCGTAACGCACCGCAGACGGACCCGGTGGAATCTAGGGGTGAGAAACCGGCTCGAGATACACTGTTTGTTATATTCCATGGAATGCTCTTAACATCCCGATAGCAATGAATATCTTAAGTGCTTTGACAAAAAATCCATTAAAAAATGTCATCTGTGGAAGCCGTAGTACTGTACAAAGCACGACCAATCATTTTAGCCGGGCCGGCTAAAATAACTGGATGGCCTACCTGCCTGTCAGCCTTCCATCTGTGCACAAACTTATCTCGTGCCCTCATTGGTCATGTGCGCGTTCGTGTGTTGGAGGAGGGGCTCTGTAAGGAAGGGGCAGATTTTTTCCGGTTGTGTATTTTCAAATTCTAGCGATCTCGAGCCGGTTTCTCAAACTTACCTACCCTACCTTTAAGAATAACAAAAAATAGCTAATTCTCTTGCAGATTGTCTCGTTTGATTATGAATGTAACGTTTATATAGTGGAACTACACGGTTTTATCAAAACCAAAGTGCCACGCAGTAACTTGGTATGCATGTATTTCAGCAGGAAATGTGCAACGTAGATGACATTTACCAACACAGAAATATTTGTAAAAGTTGTTCATGCGTTATTAAGTGAATATGGCATTAAAACACCTACTGAAATGTCACATTTTTACATTTCAGCATTGCATCACTAATTTAAGTTCTATGTTTTGCTTGTTAAGCAGTCTGTAACCCTACACACCTAACATATAACTTTTCATGTATTTTTGTATAAAGGTTTCCTTTAGCTTAGCTTCTTAGCCTGAGCTAGCTCTGGAACTTTCAGCTCGGTGGCAGCAGGTCCCGCCTCGGCTCCGCCTCTTTGCCCTTATTTGGATCAGGCTGGAGCAGGCGGATTTAGACTCTGACGTCACTGTCGAGACGTTAGTGGCCGACTCCGCCTACTAAGGGCTTCTCTGCAACTCTGCAGAATCCTATGGGTGACGTCACGGACACTACGTCCATTTATATCGAGCTCTTTGAAATGGAACGAAACCATGGCAGACTATCCAAAACTGGACTCGAACGGGAGCCCCCCAGAACTACACATGTTGGCTATTGTGTTTTGCAAAATGTTCTATGGGACGTCTCTACTGGGAACGTTTTCGTTTTTCCCACAATTAGAAGTTGCCAGTATTAAACACATTGGTGTTATCAAATTTAAAACATATAATTAATAAATGGGTGAAAATTGCTTGTGTCCATAATGGGCAGCATTAATATATACCCACATGACAGCTCATTGTTACTTTGTAATTCTACTCCACTACAATTCAGAGGTTAACCTGGTATTTTTACTCCACTACATTTATTTTAGTTACTTTGCAGATTCTGATTAATGATGTGAAATATAAACAACCCTTAAATCAGACTTTAGTTACACCTGAGAAAAAATTCAGGGAAGGTGATTGTCAAGTGCCAACAATCAGGTGAGATATTTGATAGTTGGTGCTTGAGAAGACTAAACATTTATCTGCAGATCCCTATAAAGTATATTCATTACTCG